TGTAGGCATGGACCAAATTACGTGCAAAAACTGTAATAAAAGCAGCTGAATGCAAGTTAATAAAATTCTTCTTACTCGCAATCGCCTGGAGCAATTCTCCTCTTTTTTTGTACGCAGTTTTCAATGGAATCAAACCACTATGAGATGAAGTCGCGTTTCCAAAGCTTATCAGTTTCTTAAAAATTTAGCTAATTGTGTGGATAGCATGCGTTTTCACTGTTTTTATGATGCTTAAAACTTTGTTTCAAAATATCTTGAAAACGCTCTCATAGAATTTGTTCAAACTTTGACAAAATTGAGGCAATTATGGCAGGTACAAACTCCCTTAAGCGATTTCTTAAACAAACTCCCGGTACAGAGAAACACAATGATAAATAAAAAACGTAATGGCTTCGTTACATTGCCATGGCGACTCCGATAGCAATAAAACCCAGATCATAAGAAATTTTCATCTTTATATAATACAGTTGAGGTAATCTTCTTCCCATATCTTTACTCATGACAACGTAGTTAATGCTCAAACTCGGGAGGTATCCCCCCCAAAAAAATCCACTCGAGCCACCTTAAAAAAAAATAATTCTCCCAGTAGGCAATAAAAGTGCACAGCTTCCACAAAAAAATATATGGCCAGGAAAAGACCCTAAAAGTTTGCAGCTAGTAGCTAGTCATTCACATGGTACAAAACTGCCATGCTGTGGAGCAAGGGATGTTCTGGGGCAAGACAAACAAAAGAAATCACCATTTTTGAATGACGCAAGCCTTTTCTTTGCCTTGTCCTAACGTGTCCCTTCCTCGTCAGCATGGCAGTTTTGTACCATATGAATCACTCCAGATGCAAAGGGCCCATTATACAGCATTCTTCCTACAATTCTATGCATATTTTTTTGCATGCCATAAACTTACCTGCTTCTAAGTCCTGTCTGATAGTATCCTAAAATAAACAAACAGATAAAAAGCATTCCAAGAGAGTTCAGTTGGAAATAAGAGGTAGGTGTACTATTCAAAGAAGCAGGAAATAGGAAAGCGTTCTAGTGAAACACCTCAGATGTTCTCCACGGAATTTCCCTTTTGTCCTTTCATTAATTATACATACATAAGCACATCGACGCACTACATAGGAGGACACTTTGAAAGAAACAGTTCTCTGGGGTACTATCATGTGGTCTGGGAAAACAATACAAGCTGATAAGGTCTACTGGATGAGAAAGCAGACAAAAGGAGCTTGCATCATAGAAATAACTTCCAGTTAACACAAAGTATGCTGCACAAGGATAATCACTTTGGTATGTCTGGGTCCCAACCTGGTAAATGCAGCTATTATCTGAAAGTACCTCAGTTCAACAAATATGCAGCCCGATATATGCTAACATCAAGTGGGAGTTTTCACAATTAAAACTTGTAACTTAATTAACCAAACCCAACCATGTCAAAATTCAAAGCAGTCAAGCTAATTCCTTTTTCTTCCAATATTTTGATGTCAAGTGGTGAAGGAATTCTTAACTCAAAGTACTGTATAGTCTTATTTCTTTATATAGTACCTTGTATTCACATACGGTTAGATGATAGTTGTACTCCTCAACTGGCACCTCATGGAGGAAATGAAATGGACAATTTGTCCACCCTCCACTAGCATATTGCTGAAGAAGAAAAATAACAGCTTTATATTAATATATCGGCATTGACTATACAGTCTTTAGGGAGCACATCACCCCAAGCCCCCAGGCTACACCATCAATGAAGGGGTAAGTGAAGGCCACGGTATTTTTATCCATTCTTCTCATGGCATTACAGCCAAATGTTAAATTCTCACGAGCTTTTGTGGTCTTTAACAACAGTTGTATACAAGAAATCAAGCCAACTACACAGGCTACAACAGGAACTACTATTAAAAAAGTCCCCTAAATCCCAGTTAGAAGAGGTAGATATCAAAGGGACATTTCTGTTGAGAAGCACTTGACCCATAGGGGACTACATGTATGCTATGTTAAATTCCCCCATCCCCGGGGGAAATCCTCAATTTTTCTTCACCCACTTTATAATCCCCGTGGTTAGCCCAGGGTCCCGTCCCTGGGGCAAGCAGATGACAAGTGCATTACTACTGGGATTGTATACAGATCTCTGAAGTCTTACAGTTTTGCCGCAGTCTCACAATGAGGCATAAAAATGGAATACACTTTCCTTGAGTATTTTTATTTTTGTCTTGTAAAACTGATTTTGTGGTGCCAATTCTGTAGAAATCCACAGTTCTAAGGCATATTATCACATTTGATTGCAAAATCGAGTCTTATGTCGATGCTTCTAAGCTCTAATTAGCATTTTGTAACAAAGAAATTGACGCTGGCCTTGAGGCTCTTTAACATGATCTTCAACACGGTTACGCGTAGCCTCATGATGCTGCGCTAACCATCAGTTGATAAACCCAGATAAAACAAAGTTCTGTGTTTTTGGCACTTCACAAATGTTAAGAAGAACACCAGTACGCTCTCTTGTTGTCCTAGGTAAAGACCTTGCTGTAGTAGATGCAGTTAAAGACCTGGGTGTGGTAATCTATTAGCACCTTTCGTTCAAAGACCATGCAAGTGCCTTTTTGGAAAACTCTGCAAGATCAGTAGGATTCGCCACCTGTTGGATTTCCCCTCCTTAATGTGTACTGTGAGTGCAATATTGTTTTTAGTTTTCAGCTTTGTTCTTCGGTTTGAGCAGGGACAAGTAAGGTACATATTGCCAGGCTTCAATTAGTTCAAAACTTTGCAACCAGGGATGCTCTCTTATTGTAAAATCCATCAATGGCCTAGCTCTGACATACCTACGGCAATTAGTTGTCAAGAGATCTGACATTCACAATGGACTTACACATGACAGTGTCAAAATCCAAGTTTCTAAATGCCACACTGTCCTTGCTCAGAACTCTTTTATGTATCGCTCTACTACCTTCTGGAACTCATTGCAACATTCAAAACTCGCCCTCTCTTTCCCAGTGTAACGCTTAGAAAATATTACTATAGTTATTTAAAAAATTAATTTCTCAGCGGTCATAAAGAACAGGATAGAAAGCTACACATGTACCTCTTTGGAAAGGGCAAAAAAGACCCTTTCAAGAAAAAAATATTTCTCTCTTTACTATCCCATAATATGTCACCAAAAACATTCACAAGATGTCTTTATTTTTAATAATGAATAGAATGGTTGTGTGGAGAGAAGAACTAAGAAAAAAATTCTGAGTTCTAGATGGGAAATGAACCCCCAACCTTTCAGACACTAGTCAGAAACTCTAACCTCTGAGCTACTAAGAACTCTAGAGATGAGGAGGTTATCTGTCGGCTGACATAACAACTGCATCTCGCATGTCTCATTATTACAAATAAATGCACCTGGATATATTTCGTCCACTTTGTCAAAATGGCAAAAAATGATGAATATTCATCGGACAAAGAATCAGAGTTGTTCCGATTCAGTGACAGAAAGAAAAACAAACAGGAGCAGCAGAGGTGCTGCCAAATACAACACAAATGTTCAAGACAGAATGGGAAGGTTTGTTTCCTGTTACACTTATTCTTAGTGATCTATATTCATTTTTATGTGTTCCCTGCCATAAACATGTTCAGGCAATCATCAAGGATTAAAGGATGTTATAGACCATTGCAAAAGAGAATCGCTCAAGCGGCGGTTACAGAAGTGGACAGAAACAACCCAATTGCACAGTTGTTCCCAGCAGCCACCTCCACATCAAGAGATGTCATAAAAGCAAAAGTTATGGTTACAAGTTTCTTGATACAACATAACCCACCAATCGCCAACACTGCACATCTTGGACCACCACTCTTTACAACTATTTTCACAGACAGCAAAACTGCTAGGTAGTATACTTGCAGTGCAACAAAAACAGCAGCAATTATCAACAAGGCCATGGGACCCACTGCCATGAGTACGTAGTTCAACTCTCCAAGCAACACCCATTCAGTTTGGGAATTGATGGATCTAGTGACAAAGATGTCAAGAAAATGAATCCAGTAACAATGAGAATTTTTTACTTCAAAAGGTCAATGTGTGTGACAACCACTTTTTTGCTGTGTGTGTCACCACCGGTCATGATGTATCAAAAGCACAAGAATTCTTTGATATCGTTGATGAGCAGTTTAGGGTTGACGATATTCCCTGGAAGTGGAGTATTGCAGTGAGTGTAGGTGTTGACAACACTAACTCTATGATAGGAAGGAAAAATTCATCTGCATCTTGGTGTACACAGAGAAATCCATATATTTTTGTAAGTGGTTTTCCCTGTCACCTGGCCCACATAGCTGCTGGCAATGGTCATGATGCTTTTGCAAAAGTAACAGGTGAAAAGATTGAACATTTGCATAAAGATATCTTTTACTGGTTTGAAAAAAGGCATATTGCTAGAGTATTTGGAGTTTTGTGGACACGACTATGCAAAAATATTAATGAACGTGTCAACAAGCTGTAAAGATGTGTACCACACACTCATAAAGTACAGTGCACTCAAGTCTTATTTTCTCAGTGAAGAGTTTGCTGATCAGAGATTTTCCAGGATGCAAGATGCTTTATCTAATACACTTACAGAGGTTGCTCTGCCATTTCTACTTTCTTCAATCCCTCTGTTCAACAACTTTAACAAACTGTTGCAAAGTGAGAAGCCTATCATTCACATGTTGCATAATTTCATCAAGGCTACAGTGATTGATGGGGAAGTGGATGGAGAGGTGTTGTTTCATTACAGAGTGGATGTCTTGTGAAGCATAATGCTAGACCTGGTATACCTGAAGCAGCTAGTAAACGAGTCAAATATTTACCAAACGTTGCAGAACTTGTTTAGTCTTGCCCCACAGTAATGCTGGTGAGGAGTAGTTGTTCAGTATTGTGAGGAAAAACAAGACAGAGAACAGAAGATCATCACTGAAGCTGGAAGGAACACTGTCAAATTTAGTGGCCATGAAGTTACAGTATCCAGAGCAAACTGTGCCATGCCGCAGTTGGTGTCCTGGAGAAGAATTGTTTGAGAGTTCCAAAAAGGCAGCCTCTGCATATAATAATAAGTTCTGACCCTAATCTATGAGTGTGTTGAAGCCTTCATAATAAAGTTAATTTCTCTGTTGCCGTGTCACATGATATTTAACGTCATTGATAAAAGAAACAAAAAATTTATTTTGATGAACACCTGGTTTTAGTTCTTTTTGATGCCATCGATAAATCTCTAGGTTTTTGGTTTCTTGGGGTTGAGAAGTCTGTTTATGGCATATGTGAAAAAAATGGGGTCTTTGAAGTCAAAGCTCTCGAAAGCAACCACCTTGAAAATTTGAAAAAGTGGTCGAAACTAGAGCTGGTCGCTTATGAGAACGAGGTGTCATAAACAACCACATGGCAAAACAATAGAGGGTGCTCACTAACAAGAGCTTCAGAAACTCATTAGTAATTTATAAAGGGTATGTTAGCAGGGTTCTCAATAGAAGGCGGCACCCGGCGATTGATTGTCGCTTACTTTGGGATTTATAGCTGCTTACTTTGTGTTTAAGTCGCTTTTCTTTGCTTTGTTTTGACACCTCTGGCTTTGCTGAAGAGCCTCCTACTTTATCAGTGATCACCTCCTACTTAAAAATCTATTGAGAACCCTGATGTTAGGCTCTGTGAGCGATTGTTGCCAGTGTGACATGGGAAGGACTGTAAAATCATCACCAAATGCTGAACCAAAAGTGGGAAAGTTCTTGATTTGAAAAACCTGTCTTCCTTGCTTTGCTTTATATAGTGAAGATCCTCTCTGAATCAGGGTCACATATTTTTAGATTTTCATCATTTGCCATGTTAGTTATTTCAAATTTGCCGCAAGGGCTATTAAGCCTCACTTCCATGCAACTTCTGGTTCTTTCTGAAATCACACTATTATTTCATCAACTGGCTACTTCCTCGTTTATTTGCTGACACAAAAGTTATGCATCTTTATTTAGCCACTAGGTAAATTAAATACTACATTTTAATTACTTTTGTGACAGCAAACATGTGTCGGATATGGTTGCACTTAAGTAGCCAGAAGGTGAATTTAAAGGTCCGTTGACCTTTGTAACAAAGAGAATAAAGCATGTTTATGGAATGAATTTACTTGGTACAGTTTTAAAAAAATCAGCTCTTGTTCAAGCCTCTAAAGACACAATTACGCATACTTCCAAGTTAAAGTCAATTTCTAAATACCAATAATTAACATTTAATTTGTAGACCTTTGAAAACTATGATTTTTTGCACTTCACTTCAAAGCAGGTAATTCACATATGTTATGCAATTCGCGATAACTGAAGTAGGTCATAAAATAATGGCTTGAACCAGCAGCCCACTAAAATATGAGCCCTTAAACAGCTGCATCACTGTACTCAGAGTTTGAATCATGAAGATATTTAAATGTCATGTTTTTAAACACCTTTAGCCGTAATAAAAGACGACAAAATTGTGAAGAACCAAAATGGCCTTCTTAAGGTGCCCTTGCTTGACCTTTAGCACAGCAATGTCATGTTTAGATGCCAAAATCTCACTGGCTCCTAGCAATCAACTCATACTACATTCAACCTTATTGGCCCCTGCAACACACATTTGAACAGGCAAAGCCACAAAGATACGTACACTTAGACCACTGAAATATGAACTATGTTTTCAAAATAGCTCAATAAAGAGTCCAGTCGGGTAATCCCAAAAGTGGTCGTGGTCGCTCAGTTTAGGGAGCAATCGTTTAACACGGCTTTTCATTACAAAGTTTAAGTCACTGTTCAAACCGGGTTTCACAAAGGTGGTCTGTCGTAATTAGAGCTGGTTCCTTACGAGAGTGGTCGCAACGAGAGCTTTGACTGAATGAGAGAAAATCAAACGAAGGTTTCAAAAAGGAATTGTTTCTAACATTCGTTGGCAATGGACAGGAATTTCACGAGCCAAGTCCTCTTGTTGAATTAAGCTTAAGCTTAAGCTTATCTCACGTTAGAAAAATAGTCGTTAGTAGGAAGTTATTGCATTCCGTGAGGAGCGAATTTAATAAAACTAAGCTTAATATCAGTAGTGAAACTGAAACCCAAGTACCCAATTAGAAATAACAGTTTTTAGTGTTTTTCGCGTTTCTGAAAGAAATATATAACTAACTGAAACGACGTTTACTTTACTTTCCAAATCATTCGATCTGGAGGCAGCCATGTTTTCGTCACCTACCTTTCGGCACTTTTGCAAATGGTAAGGAAATCTTTTTGCTGCAACACGATGAACAGCGTCATAGGGGCAGATTAGAAGCTCATTAGGATCATTATTGCCATACATATTTTTCCAGCGGGATAACCTGCCAACCAAGTACACAGAAGCCTAAGTTTTTCTGTCCTTCCCGCTCCAGAAGTTTCTCACAAAAAGTCATGCCCAAATTTGGAAACTTTCCTTGAGAGACTGGATACGAGGCGGTCGTGCAGGAATCGTGCAGGGGTGCAGGGGCATCCTAGAAATCCTAGAAAAGGCGGGACGAGTCCCGACCCGACTGACTGCCTCTGCGGGTCTCCGAGGATGGTGCAGGGGTAGTGCAGCAAATTTAGGGCAGCTGTTGTACAGTGCCCGGTTCCTGAAAGGCAGATTATCGCTAATCCGGGATTAAAATTTTGTTCCTTTTTTGTATTTTGCCTTCCAATGTACTGCTTGTAACAACACTTTGTATTATCATTTCCGTATCTCGAACTACTAGTAAGGGCTCAGCAGTGTTTTGTAAGCTCGAGTTGTATGTTTTTGTGCAAGAAAACCTTGCTTAAAAATTGGATTAATCTCAGTGATGCCAACTCTCCCGCTTTTGGCGGGAGACTTACGCTTTTTTGGTACGTCTCCCGCTCTCCCGCTTTAATTTGGTACATAAATCTCCCGCTTTTTACGTCCACTATAAATATTGAATACTTAGTAAAAAATAAAACAGACTTAGCTTGAGATTTAGCTCATTTTTAGCTCAAAACTTGAATGTTTCTTATTCGCAGTACGTTTTCTGGGGCATCAAAACGATGATTTCGAATTTGATGGTATATACTTCATGTAAGACGTCAAATAATGTCCTAAGTCATTCCCATTGGGGGACGCCTTTAAAACTAAATTAGCTCATTAAATGAAACTAATTAAATACTACTGACTATAAAACAGTTCATTTTTTGTCAAAAGCACCAAATTTTCAGGAAAGGCAGAACTAATTATGACTATTGATATGTGATATAGTACCATCGCAAATTTTACTAAAAAGGCCGCCATTTTGACCGGAAGTAAATATCACCTAACCGAAAGTACACGAAATTTAGCATGTTAAGGACAAAATGACGACAAAATTGTTTGTTCTATGTTTTTCCGGATATTTATGTCGTGTAAAAAAGTCAACCGTGTTACAAATTAGCTGTTTGAATAAGAAAACCGGAAGTAAAAGCGGGATAAAATGGAAAATGTAACTCATTCAAAGCAATTCATTTCAGTAGTGAATTTAAAAAAATGTGAAACAATGATTCAGATTTTTAAGCATAGGAAAGGCCAAACATACAAACAAATTTAACTAGCAAAAAACAGATTATTTCTTTTTACTCGTTTTAACCCTTTAAGTCCCAATAGTGACCAACATCAATTTTTTCCTGACAATATCCATCCAAGGTCAAGAGATTAGGTTTTTAGAATTAGTAAAATTATCACCCAAGAGGAAATGCTTTGATCTTTTATCAAATTCTCTCAACTTATCCTTTTAAGGAAATGTACAGAGACCACTTTGAAGAATTTGTAAGGGTTAAAAGAGTTGATCCACTATTAACTAGAATGCAGAATGCTTTGCGGCTTTCAAAGTAATTTGAGGTATAATAGCTCCACCATTTTGTGTTATTGAGGAGAATAAATAACACTCTGTGCATGTACATATTTGATTTAAATTGCTTTCACGATAACGTCTGCTCATTTCAAAGTTTACCATTTTCAAAACGTTTCCGGGAAATCCGTTTGTAAGGTAAATGGGTCCCCTGCTCAACCTACTCTTTACAACTGAACAGTGTCAGGGTTCTTTAACTTCCCACAGCATTTTCTATGAACAAGGACTGTGGGATGGGGCTTACAGGATTTTTCATTCCAGGAAGACTAGGAAGTCTAACCGTTTGCAGATGACATTAAAAAGGCAGCACTTCTCGTCAGTTATTTAAAGATCCTGATCGACAATTGGTCTGGCCGGGGTTTGAAACCGCTGCTTCCCGTTCAGTAGACCGGTGCTTATCCACCTGGAGCTAACCGGGCGGCGGTTTAGTTCAGCTGTATTTCACTATCAAGTGAATCTGCGCCTTGCTCGACAGAAGTGAGAATTAGTCTCTAATCTTCAATGTAACCACCCCCAGAATCTCATTTAATTATCATGGACTGAGCAGCACTGATTATCATGCTAAAGTCCACATGCAAGAAAATAAGGAAAAAGTATTTTCCGAATGTGCATTACTTTCGTTTATCCCCTGAGTATGTAAAATGTATTCTCTTGGATATAGTATGTGACAAATATGTCGCGCCGAGAACAGCTTGAAGACTAAGATCTGAGGTAAACATATATCAGGAGCTATACTAAGAAACTGGAAAAAGCTAGTTCTTTTGTAAAGATCGAAAAAAGCAGGTGCTTTTTAGATTCCTTGCACATTGAGAAACGCATGTCGTCTAGGGCCAGATGTCCAGTCTTTTCCCTGCATCGTTTGAAGTCTATTCGCTAGAAAGCATTTATTGTTATGCTGTATCACAAAGCAGATTCCCTTCTTTTAAGATACCGTAAAATTCCGAAACTAAGCCCCTCCATGTATAAGCCCCTCCAAATATAAGCCCCCCAAAATCGTAACGCAAGATTGGGGCTGGATATCTCTAAGAGTAGAGTGGCCACTCTCCTGCACACCACTGTCAGAAATTACGAAGTTGAGGGTGGAACTAGTCAAGTACACTCGTAAGAAGGGCTGTGCCCAAAAGAGTGACAATCGTGAAAGGCAATCCCAAACTCTTTTTTCGATTACAAGCACTCGTCTGCATGAAGTATCAAGTCATTAGGTCACCGAGATATCATCTGTTCTTCTTCGATATTCTGTATCATAGCCAAAGTAGGCTCAAGTTTAGTAATGGATTATACATGATGAAAATAGTAAATTAAGTGTATACATTAGATTTAAAGAAAATATTAAAGTTTTAAAAGAAAACTAGCGGGCACAACAGAAGTTTAAGCTCATTCCTTAAAAGTTCCGACTCTGGTAATTTTACTTCCGGTCTAGCTGGCGGCCACTTATATCATCTCTATTCAATTTTTTTTTTTTTTTGACAATTTGCATTGAAATAATATCTATGTGTATGAAAAACAGCTGCCTTAGGCATTTGCTGACATTTTCTTATCCAAGTTACTAAAATTCAGACGTTTAAAAGAAAATGTTAATTCCACTTCTGGTTCAAAATGGCCGCCATTTTAAAACTCTTATTTTTCGGACTTAACTGACTTTTTGGCGATGATACCATATCCTATCTTTTTTAGGGCCTTGAAAACTGGTAAGCTCTTGTTTCCATATCTCAAGGCGGTTTGAGATATGAAAACTAGCGTTTACCTTGAAAACTATCATCATGCCAAATTTCATGCTTTTAACAGAAAGTGAACAACTGAAGCACACTCTTTTACACTTTAAAACTAAGTTGTAAATTTTTTTCGTTAACACTTTAAAACTAAGTTCTAAATTTGAAATATAAAAACCAAATGCATATACGAGCTCGGACGCTAAAATAAATAAGTAAATTTGCTAACGTCCGGTCAACCTAAGCATAAGCAGCATTCACTCCCACATCCTTCAAGAAATGATGTTACATCCTTTTTACGTATCACTGTCCTAAAAGTTGCCAAAGTTCCAATATATGATCTCTCTCCTCCTTGCTTAATTTTGACCACAATTGTGGTCCCAGAAATCTGAGAGAATGTCTTCCATAAGCCAGTAACAGTTTTAAACCGAGGTAAGACAAAATTTGCATTTCTTAGGTTATATATCTTACTATTAGTATTCTCCTCGTTGATATTAAAAACATCCTCAATTTGGTTCATTGTTAATTTGTTTTTCACTTTAAACATCAAAATGACTTTATCCTGCAACCTCCTCTTTTGTAAAGTGGTTAACTTAGCTCTTTTCAGCAAGGTGTCATAACTTTCGGTAGTAGTATAAATATACACTAATCTTAAAGCTCTTTCTTGTAGACGCTCTAATTATCAGATGCGTGCGAAAATGCCACACTAGGTGGCAATAGGTAAGGTGTGGCATGATAGCCGATTTTTACAAAAGTAACTTGGCACTGACTGGGATAAGATTTTTAAGCCTTCTTGGTGGTTTCTTGGTGTTGCGGATCACCAAATGACGTCACCTTTAGCCTGTTTTGTGTTTCTCCCTATCATAAGGTTCAAGTTTTTATTCAACCTTTACAAATCTTTTGTTGCTCGTTGTTTTTTCATCCATCGGTTTTTCAGGCAAAATAGTATCCTCTAATGGAATTAATTATTTTGCATTGTAACGTTATAGCTAACAGCGAGCTCAGAGCACCACAACGACGACGAAAAGTGGAAAATAACCAAAATACAAATTTTTGAAAGTGCATCACGCCGAACTAACGTTCTCAAACTTTATTGAAAAGGTAGCGATCGTCGCTTTAATCTCTAAGATGCTTGCCTTACCAATCTTTGACGTATCGTCACCACTTTGGTTTCTTTGTTGGAAATACCCATTCAGAGGCTTATTTAATAACGTAACGGTAAAGTAAATAAACGCAACTTGGTTTAAATATCATAAACCTCCTGAGTAAATTTTAAAACTAGACCCTTATAAATATTTACCGTCTGATACAGTAAAAAAAATCTCTGTTGCGCTTTTCCAAATAGCACTGTGTTTTATTACAATTCATCTCACGCTTAAGAACATGGAAAGTACAAATGTAAAAATGAGCATACTTATAAGGAGAATTTGTTATTCAGCATTAGCAAAACTTCGGATACTGCAGGAAGAAGGTTCATACATTGTACCAATCTGATTTGTTTGTATAAGCCGGCAGACTAAGACCTCGTAAACGCCTTGCAATATATTACAAATGGGATATCTTTGTAAACGTCTCGAAAAATAGTGGTAGCCTGTCTTAGACGTTCCGACTGCCAAGTGGGAGGGTAAGATTGAGAAACTTCTAAATATAATAACTCATTGTTTTGTCTTCTTTTCCTCTACCTCCAGAATCTGTTCGTGGGGGACTTTCAACAAGGACAGCAAGTTCCTTTTTTGAAAAGGGCCCTACATACTCCGCTTTCGGTGTATTCTATAACATGATCCGCTATAAGTGAAACAACAGAGGATCGGACTGTCTGTTCTGTGTGTTTTTGTACCAAACTTGAAGAGTGTTTTTGTCTTGGCAGACTGCATGTTTAACTGCCAGTTTCAAAGAAGAAGACTAATGTAAGTTTTTACGCACTGGTGATACTCCCTTATATTTGCCTGATAGGTATGGGCCGCCCAAAAAGGTATCGTTTTTGCGCCGTTTTGGTCAGACCACAGATATACACTTTGACTTTCACGTGTCCTTTTCAAGGGAATACGGAGACGCATGAACGTATTTGTCGTTTCAAAGGGAAATGAATGAAAAAGAAAGAGTAATATGCGAATAGAAATAATGAGCTGAAAAAAGGGAAATCTTTTAGTTAGCGTTCTAATCTAAAGGCCTGTTTACATGCAAGCGGGGGACCTAAGCTAGGTGACGTAACCCGCCTGTCCATATAATATCTCATCTTAATTTGATGACGTGTACATGATAGGTGGGGTGACCCGCCACATGTTACCTCGCCTATCTGGGGTCCCCTAGCTACATGTAAACAGTCCCTAAGTGATGGTAACATAATTTCTGCCTACATCAGGTCTGAAGACGTGTATGCATTTTGGAGGCTAGGTCTCAGAAAAGCGAATGGAAAATAATTAAAACTTGTTGGTTTGAAATAGGGTCAGGATGTGGCGAACCGGGTGGCACACCGCCACAACGAATTTCCAAGCATCCCCCCCCGGGATGGTTTCTTCAAAGAACTCGTATTTTTTTCGAGTATAGAACAACGTTAAAAGTACTAGACCTTAGTAGCAGACTTGAGGAAACTGACCGCGGTACCAGCAGTTTCATTACTCACTTTCGCTTCCGCCTCCCATAAAAAGGTGCTTACATGCCCTCTCAAGGACATCGTATTTCTGCATTCAATGGTACTTCAGTACGGGGTTTACCCTAGTAAACACTATGTTTGTTTATCTATATTATTTATGATATTGAGGTGACACTGTACTGACGGAATGAAGAGCCTAATATACATCGAATACAGCTCATTGAAAATGCGAACTGATTATAACTCCACTTTTATACAACACTAGCATTGGAGATAAATAGAGGATATTACACGGTGGCGCGAAGATATGAATTTTATGTTCGAGTGGCAAAACAATATTTTAAGAACGAGCGCAGCGAGTGAGTAAAATATTGTTTTTGCCACGAGAAAATAAAATTCATATCTTCAAGCCGCCGTGTAATGTTCTTTAGGCATCGATAAAATAATAGAGGGAAATGACCGAAATTACGTTATCGATAAACTCACGTGTGAGATTATGGAAAATAAACCACTCGGGTCCCGGATGTACTTTTTATGAATTTTTCGAGTGGTATATTTTCCAGTAAAACACTCGTGTCTATATAATAATTAAAAATAAATGACCTGGAGGGGGAAGCTGAATTAGTCTTTATATCAGCCCTATTCTTAAAAGTAATGATTGTGAGTTTGTGCGAGTTGTTGTACCATTTAGTAGAACATAGAGTAGGAATGTACAAATGGATGGCCACACAAATAAGAGGGAGGTGGTTGAGTCCGATTGTGCTCCTAGGCCTTATCATGGTGGTTTCACATTGCTTTTGGTCCCAAAATTCACGTGAAAGGCATGTATACAGATGAGATTATTAAACTCGTATCGTGCGTGCAACATCATGCGTGTATTTCCGTTTTCCCTTTACTGGCCCTTTGCCTTTCGTCGTTTTCCTTCCATATGAAAGTATGCATATTTTCACTACCCGTAGTATACCTGTCAACACTTTTTAAGGTATAGGCGTGACATATTTATCCTGAGAGTGACAGGATGTTTCGTAGGAGTCCGATAATATCCCAAGATGTCCGAAGACGTCCCAAAGACTTCCGAAGGCTTTCCGAAGACTTCCGTCTAACACGAGCACGGGAACACGAAGGAACACGGCCTCGTCTCCAGTGACTTTCCTACTTAAATAAGAGAATTGGGAGAAAGTCGATCATTCACTATCCTTTTATTGCTCTGAGTGGTTCATGTTTCTTTAAATAGTTAATATATTTTTCATAATGAGTCAGTTAATACTGTAATCACAAATGGCACAAACTTTTCTATATATCTTTCCATCGATGCCTCGTTCTCAGGATAATGTAAGCAATCCTAACTAGAGTTACACTCAATAAGAAAATTAAGAAAAGTAACATTTTGGGAGAAAATCCACTGTCAATTTAGCTGTTTACCTGCACTAATCTTTGAAGATTAAAATTGCCCCTTAATAAAAATTAGCCAGTCTCAATGCAAAAGAAAGAAAGAAGATAAAGTGGGTAATAAAACAGTTTATAAAGAAGAAAGGCAAAGCAAAAAATACAGAGAGCGAGACTGAGAAAGACCTAAATAGATCCTAAAAACAGTTCGAATTTTGGTTTGTGCGCTTCTGCGAAAAAAACTGTTTATAATAATTTTTCTGTTTAATTACGTCCCTTTAGTCGGAAATATGTCCTCTGTGTTGCAAACCTTATTGTTAGCCATTCTTATAATAGTCAAAAATCAGGTCAAGAAGGGAAATGGTTAGTCTGCTACACAGACAAATTCTCACTCTCATTCTCCTCCCCACTAGTGGGGAGGAGCGTTGCGTGACGACACTAAAAACGGCTGTGTAGCAGACTAG